TACATACATATATACATATACACACACACACACACACACACACACACACACACACACACACACACACACACACACACACACACACACACACAAACATACATACATACATACATACAGGTACATACATACATACATACATACATACATACATACATACATACATACATACATACATACATACATACATACATGCATACAGTTACACTGACATTAGATTTGTATCCACAGTTTTGGTTAACATCTGGCATATGCTACCTCTAAAGAAAATTACACACTGGCAAGTCACTAAATGAGCACAGTCCAAATTGGATAATGATCATATTTAATTTAATAAAGTATTTAATCGGTACATTTCTTTCACCTGCTATTGGACCTGCGTCACACACCACTGAATATGAATGGGACTTCGGGCTGAAACAGCTGCAATTTGCCTATTTTCCAAATGTGTTTCTCCTTGACAGCCTTTTGTTGCAGAGATATTTTAAGAAAAGTCTGTAATTCTCATTGCATTGTATTGTCTTTGACAAAAAGAAGCAAGCACATTCACAAGCAAAGTCAAGCACCTTGAACGTCTGTATTTTTGGCCTCAGCTTGTATCTACTCGTGTGCTTTTTGAGTGCGTGTGTGACGTTTTATCTCTCCTGCTCTGACATCTGCCAATCAGCACATCAGGATCAGTCAGTCGTCTGTCACCTCCTCACAGACAGCTGTCAGTCCAAACTAGTGGAGACCATGATTGGAGCAGGCAAGGAAGAAGCTGGGAGGAGGGAGCTGTGATTGGCTGTCTGAGCAGGAAGAGAGGTTGAAGGGTGTTATCCGGCCTTCAGTGAGAGATGCTTTGTTCTCTTTTGAATCTGACACTCAGTAGTCAATTGAAACAGCTGCAAACTTGAAAAGCCACGAGTTAAACTCCTGATCAAAGGTCTACACTCACATCCTGGTTTCCACACCTACTATTCTCCTACATCTAGCAGTGGATGAACCAGAGGAAGCATTCAGCTCTCTCTTGCAGGCTTTTCTACTGTTTTCTGTCCAGGATTGTAGTCCGGAAAAAAACTCATTTCCCGACAGACACTTTGTCTGACAGTTCAGCTGATCCTGTTGGGATCAGTGTCTGAGCTGCAGCCGCTTTGACTTTATCATCATGAAAGACAGCAGGTGTTTTGTGCTTAAGTGTCATCTTGTTTGCTCCGTAGATTCCTTCAGTTAAAGCTCTCAAATGGACGAGAGACAACGAGTCGTCTATCTGTTGTGTTTACTAACCACAGGGAAACACATTAAGACTGATTATAGTCAGGATTCAGGCATCACCACTGATCTTATAAATTGGTTCCCTTCCGGTGTATACCAGCTGCTGTTGACATTCAGGAGATACAATCATACTGTGACAACATGTCTCCTCATCATCATTTGTCTCTCTGTAAAGTTGCTGCCCATCGTTCACATTAGGTTTACTTTGTTTGACTTGTACGACTGGAATGGGAACTGTCAACATCCATTGGCAGGAAAAATGGTTTGGAAAAGATAAAACTGCGCTGCGTGCCCAGAGAGAGAATTATATTCATCAGCTTTCAGGTCAGAGCCCCTGCTCACCTGAAATTCACCTCACTCTTGTGAAGTTCACCGTCCGACAGCCCTCTCTGCAGAGTGATGTTGCCCTCGTCTCTCTCAATCCAGCATTTCAACTACACTTTGCATTTTCTTTAGTTTAAGGCAGGGTGTTTTTTTTGCGAAGAGCAGAATAATTTAGCTTGACGAAACTGTTTTGGTGAATGTTTATTTTTGATTTGATGTCGGAACATTTCAAATATGTGTGTTCCAATTGGATTTCTAGGCTGCCTCACAAAGTGACGCTTATCATACTCTAGCTGTTTTGTAGAGTGTTCCATGTACTCAGCGTCAATATGTGACCCCTTCTGAAAGTCTACACTTAAACAATAATAATAATAATAGCTTAGATTTATATAGTGCCTTTCATGGGACCCAAGGTCGCTTTACAGAGAAAAACAGGAACAATAAACAATGGGCATTTTGTTGAAACTATCCAATTGTGAGTGTCCAGTCGTCTTAATTGTTCTCCTATACTGTATACAATATACCAACAGCATCACAGACAATTAAACGTATACAATTCAGATGCATTTGTGATGTATTTATGCTCGACTTATCTGAACTCTTACATTGGAAATGAAACCTAATTTCTCAGCCCAATTGTTCAATTAATTAGCCTGTTTTCCGACCCTATTTTTCCGACTGCTAGCAACACGCCAAAATGTGAAACTCATAATTCTTTCTCTGCCGCCTCACACACTGTCCGTCCAATTAGATGTTTTTAAATGCCTGCTGGAACTAGTGCTGGCAGACTTATTAGATTACAAAGGGAGTAGAACTCATTTGCACCCCATAATCAAATAGATTGCTGTTACCATGGGAGTAAAAACTGCCTAGCTTGCCATTTTTAACCGCTTATTCATAGAAAATGTAGGTGTAATAAAAGAGTCTGATTTAGTTTATTTTCTCCCCTTGAACCTCATGCATCAAGAAGGCATAGAGAGCGAGAGACACACACACAGAGAGCGAGAGAGAGAGAGAGAGAGAGACACACACACTATCAGTGAATCAGTATTCATAGTCTACAGCCAGCTCTGCCAGCCCTGTCTCACAGTAGGGGTTCAGCTCTATGAAGATAAAGTGATTTTTCTGGAATGAGTGACCCTAATTCTGACCCACCACACACACACACACACACACACACACACACACACACACACACACACACACACACACACACACACACACACACACACACACACACACACACCGCACGTACACACATTTCCGATAATTAATCAGGCACTGTTGGAATCAGATCAGCGGTTCAACTTCAGTTTTATCCCCGCTCTCTCACTCATGTCAGTGCTCTGAAAAGCATTTACACCACAGGGTTCCCCATGCCAAGCTGAATGCAAACCAAACACCTATGGGTTTTTTGGACCACCTAAATGTAACACTTCCAACACAAAGTAATCAAACCTGTACCCCTGCTGTTACCAGTTAGACGGCACCTTGACCTCATACCCAGCCAGAGAAAATCTCACACCAGCTGCTGCAGTAAAAGTCTGGATTCATTTTGGGATGTTTTAATGCAGCACGGTGTAAGAATAATGATCGTTACTGGACCATTTGTAAAGGACAAGTCATTAAGGGACTCATTTCAATCACACTCACTGTAAAAGTGCAGAGGGACAAAGAGGAGAGAGGGTGACATCGTAGTGGACGATCAGCCCTGGAGCAGCAACCCTGGTCCTCTCCTCCCTCTCCCCTCTATCAGCACTCATCTCCTCGGCAAATTGAATTCCTCCCCAGAATCTGCCTAAGCAGCTCCATGAGACCAGCCCCCGGGGAGCGGGGACACGCACATGTCGCGTCAGCCGAGAAGTGTGTGTTTGAATCTGCCTCTTGACTCTCCTGTCACATTTGGAGGCCGATCTCTCTGTTAGGCGACATTCCTCCCCAAAACACAAAAAGCAAAGACCTTGAGCTGCCACAGAGATGGACCGAGGGGCAACATGAGACAGGAGACAGACAGACAGGTGGTCGGTTGGTTCGGTACAACTGGCAAGGAAGACAGACAGGTTAGGAAGAGGGGGGGAATGTGAGGGAGTGGCAAGCTGATTTGAAGTGACAGAGAGACAGACATCGGGGGAAGAGAGGGAGACAGACGACAGCAGTGAGTGAAACGGGCTGTTAGCTGACCTTGCTCCTCTCAGATGTGCTGTTCTATATCTCTATCTGTACTTCCTAATGGACTCCCTTTATAGTAGACTGAGGTTTAAATGGCCGTGAGGAGTAGAGGGCGCTGGGGAGGGGATTCGATGTGCAGCTGTTCAAGGTATGAAGAAAGTTGTAGATAAGTGGAATGGATGGAGGGGCAACTTGTTATTTGTACAGTACGCTCATGAGCCAACCTTTATAATTTAGGGTCTCATTGTGGAAGCTGAAAAGGCTGCATCTCTACTGCTCACTCTCTCACACACACACACACACACACACACACACACACACACACACACACACACACACACACACACACACACACACACACACACACACACACACACACACACACACACACACACACACACACACACTCTCTCTCTCACTTATACACATAGGCAGGCAGCGGTGAGTTATTGTGCTGGTCAGCAGTTTGACATTGGAGTCTGCACTGCCAGCCATCGTCTGTAGAAACGGAATATTCCAAATAAATCCTTACACTCACATGCACGCTCACACACCGTTTCTTTCTTTCTCTCTCTTATACTCACCAACACACACAGATACACACACCCACCGCGCAGACTGCTGTATAAATCTATCATAGATGGAACACTTCCCTCTTGTGCTCAGAGCAGGCAGCAATCAATCTGAAAAGAGACCGGGGGAGAGAGAGGGGGAAACAGTGGAAAGCAGAGAAAGAGAAGCAGGGAAGAAAAAGTGGCCCTGAGACATCTGCAGGGAATAAGGAGGGAAAGAGGGACGAAATGAAATGGCTGGAGGAGACAGAGAACTGAGAAAGTTGAATTGGCAGGGAGGAGAGAAGATTGAGTTGACAGGAGCAGGAGAGAGAGAAAGAGAGAATGTAAAGCTCTGCCTCAGAGTTATGGACCTGTCCATACATACTGTAGCAAGCAGATAAGCCTGCCCCCTTCTAACCCAGCTGGTGCGTGTATGTGTGTGTAAATGGTTGATGGTTTCAATAAATCTTTGTGTCTCCATCCCCCCTCACCGTACACCGTACACCCAGATGCTGATTTTTGTTTAGTGGATCCAGGCCCCAACAGATGCTGACAGGTCCTTTAGCTAGTTGCCGTGGACACACACTTTAGCCTTAATGCTGTGTGCTGGGGAGCCAGGTCTGAGCACCTGAGCCAAGAGTTAAAGACTGGATGCCATTGTTTAGACAGCAGCTGCAGCCCAGCCATTCAGCAAATGCACCTTGCAAGTCAAAGCCAGCGATTCAGCAGCCTTATCAGAAGCAGCAGCGACGGTACAGCGAGTAAAATATGGTTTGTAAGTGAGAAAACATCGTGTCTCAATAATAACAAGTGAGCTGGAGGGGAAGAACCATTGTTGAAAGGTTATGTTCTTAACATGCCACTAGCGTGAGTGAGCGTGACTTTATCCGGTTTGATTACATCACACCTGAACGATAGGATGTCCAACCTTGTTATACATTTGGGTTGAGAGTGAGTGTGAAACATTGTTTGACCTTTCTCTTCGTACAAAGCCTTAAGTGCAATATACACTGGCATTTGATACAATTCAACCGATGCCAGCAGCACACAGCAGATGCTCGGTGCAGACAGAAGACGTAGTCAAGTTACAGTGTGTTGTTCCAGGGAGTAAATGTGATAAAATTGCTGCTTTTCTGGTCCATTGATGCGCGTCAATGGGAAATAGGACATGCTGACACTGTGATTCATGCTGCTGGTGTGTGGGCTTACATGGAAAACAATAGGGGCGAGTGTTTTGACATATGTCATATGCCATATGTGTTTGCTACCTTAAAGATGCACCATTAATCCTGGGTATAATTGAATCCTATTGAAAACACATAATACTATAGAGAGTAATAGAAGATATATAGCCTTTCTTTAAACAGGAAGATTTTGATATGTTTCAGGAGGTTCTTGCACTGTTATTATTTATACTTATATTTATCTTTTTGAATAATATGAGTTGTTCCCTATGCAGTACATGTTATGACAGCAGGAATAGTGGTGATAAATGTTTTATTGGACCTCACTAATGGAGTGGGGGATTTCCACTGAAAGTCCTGGTAAATCTGGTTAGATGAGTCTCTGCAGAGTTTGGTACGCCCACTTTACTCTTACCGTTACTAATGATGATATAAGAGAGAGTCATAGAGGTGAGAAGGGCAAAGTCTTGGGTGCAGGAGTAGGTAAGAAGAAGATGTGAATGAATACAGTTAGTAGTTAGGCAGTGCAGTTTATCATAGCATGTGCAGACTCCAGTATTTCACTTTGAAGCAAACATGTCTGTACGTTGTTCGTGCCAAGGACAAACCACGAATGGAATTCTATGTTTTCATTGTTTCGGTGCATGAATACAGATTACATTTGCTCAAATGTCCAAGCGTGACTAATGCAGTGTTTTTCATATAACAAAAATAACATATTTTCCTCTCTGTCTCTGTCAGAGGTGGCTCCCTACCTGCGAGGGGCTGGGCGGGGGCAGCAGGTGGTGTTGGAGGGGAATAGGCTGGTGCTGACCTGCCTGGCTGGAGGCAGCTGGCCCCTGCAGTACCGCTGGACCTTCAACAACATTAACGTCACGGACTGGGCCCCGCAGTACAGGTCAGTTATCTCCGATGCCTGGTTAGGGGTCTGACTTTCTTCTTCCTGTACTTTCTCCTAATTCTGAGAATCTTCTGTGTGTCCAGTGATGCCTGTAGCATTTAAAAACAACGCAAGAGTTGGCCTTAAGTGATGGAGTGCATTTAGAGAAGGTCAGAACATTTAGACGTTGGAGCCAAAGTGAGATTAATAATTACATTTGCATCATAAATATGTATACGGTCTGGGGAAAGAAGAGGAGAACTAATCAATACGTCTGAGCATTTTCTCTGCTATTCTCTCTTTACCTCTCTTCAATTTCTTCTTCTCCTCCTCCCCTGCCACTCTCTGCGTGTTGTCTGGTAAGAGCTAAGCAATCCCTCTAAGCAAAATTGCAGCTGTGAAACAAAATAGTTTTTCGCATCATGCAGAAATAGAGGGGATCTTGGGGATCCTTACACGCTGAGGGAGGGACAGGTCGAGCCAGCATTTGTAGGATTCTCTGTCTGAGCCAGGAAGCGTTGTGTAGCTCGGATCTGCTCTCAGAGATCTGGCTAGTTTAGCTTGGTGAGGCCAGGGCTGTTCTGAAATGCCAGGCTGCAGTGTGTGTGTGTGTGTGTGTGTGTGTGTGTGTGTGTGTGTGTGTGTGTGTGTGTGTGTGTGTGTGTGTGTGTGTGTGTGAGAGTGAGTGAATGGGTTCTACATTTAAGCAGGTTCTCCACTATTCAAAGTAAGTCTGCACATTATTGGAAAAAACTGACATCGCGATTTCCCCCCCCCTAAAAACATCCGGTTGAATATAGTTACAAAAATACCAATTGTATTGCATTAAAGTTCAAGAAAGCATGGTTTGCGGGAAAAAAAACGGTCTTTTGTAACATGGCGTGTTTGAGTTAATTTGCCTACTTAAAAAAGTCCAAAAAAATAAATTAATCGCACGTCCTACGATGTGAATATCGCGCATGCGCATATCGCGATTATCGCCTAGACACGATATATATTGTGCAGCCCTATTTCAAAGTGTTATTGGTTAGATATCCGGCTCCTTGTACATTTAGACCTTTTGTTTAAGCTTATTGTGTCCTGATGGATTGGTTTGGCAGGTGCCTTTCATGGTACAGTAGTTTCCTTAAACTGTGTGTGTGTGTGTGTGTGTGTGTGTGTGTGTGTGTGTGTGTGTGTGTGTGTGTGTGTGTGTGTGTGTGTGTGTGTTTATTTTACAATTACACCTTCGACTTGGCTTCCACATTTCAGGTTCGGGAACATGTAGGGTTTGAGCCAAGTGAGAGAGCATTGTTCTTGTCTAACTGATGGCTAATACGTGGTAACTTTGCCCTTTTCGGTAATAAAGTTCATAACTATTTAGAAGCTGGATTGGCAGTATTTGCCCTTTTAGAAACAAATGACTCTCTCTGCCTCCTTTTTGTTGTATACATTTAAGAGCATTTGAGAGTCCTTTTTTTATTTTGCTGTTAGATTTTTATTTTATTTAGGTTTTTTTATTTAGGATATCTTGTTTTTTTCATATTCCACAAAGTTTGAATATCTTTAACAATGTAACGTGCAAAGCTATGAAAGGGTGTACTTGTGTCAGTATTATCACTTTGTTCATCGCAATGATTTCTCATACAACAGTAGTACCGTAGTTATTGTGGCAGGCTTACGTGTGTGTGTTGTTCAGAATAACACACACCTTTCAACACCCTCTGTTTAGAGTGTAGTCTAATTGATCTTATTTTACCTCCTATATCTCATGTGTAATGTACTGGACAGCAAATAATTCAGATGAGCAGCGCTGCAAATGAAAATGATTAACATTTATGGAAACTTCAGTTAAGTTTCCTTGTTCTCAGTTCAGCTCCATAAATCTGTCCTTTTTTACACATAGTAAGTTCCAATGAAATAATGATTTGGTAAGTTTGTCTTGCATAACGCTAGAGTGTTTGCTTTGTTGCAGTGTTGTAGTCAAGTCACCAATTCACAAGTCCAAGTCACTCTCGAGTCACCACTCTTCGAGTCCGAGTCCAAGTCCAAGTCACCAAGGGAGTGTCCGAGTCGAGTCCGAGTCATCATTACCTATGTTCGAGTCCGAGTCCAAGTCCGAGTCACCTAAGAAGAGTCCGAGTCATCATTACCTGTGTTCGAGTCCGAGTCCAAGTCTGAGTCACCTAACAAGAGTCCGAGTCACAAGTCTTCATGTATTAATCTTCGTGGATATATGTGTTGAAATGTAGCTGCTCCTCTACATTGCTTTTTTCCTGTCATGTTATACTAATCTGTCTANTTATTATTGTAAATGACCTTTAATATGTCTAACTATATTTAAAATGAGTTACCTTTTAGAGAAGTGATTATATTTGTATGCTAATATTGTTCTATGGTAAAGTTTTCGTTTTGCACTTTTATTTTGATAGTAATAAGATCGGGACTTTTACCGTTTAAATTGGTTTACTGATAAAGATTTAGCCCCAGAAAGCACATGGCTACTTAGCATGCAAAATTACATCATTCTGCATGTTAAGTAGCCATGTGCTTTCGTGTTGGCTGAATCTTTATTTATTGATTAGATCACGTTACTCTGATGATAGTGTTCAAAACAGCCATGTCTGAACTCGATCCTTGTGTAATGTGTTACGGAGCCTTCTCTTCAATACTGTTTCCAAATAACGAGCATTTTGCGCTGCTCTTTTCCAATGTGGAAGCAGAATGTGTGAAAGCATACAGGACCATGCGGGGTGTGTCTCTAGACAGCTCTAGACTGGAATAGCGGGGCCCAGTCCGTGAACTCGCCTCACAGGTGCACATGCCAGGATAGAGGACATCAGACTCCAGAGAAAACTTGCTCAAGTCCGAGTCCAAGTCAGAGCGTCAATGTTCAAGTCGAGTCCGAGTCATCATGGGGGCAAAAATTCACGAGTCTGAGTCCAAGTCAGCGTACGCGAGAATTCACGAGTCCGAGTCACGTCAATCAGTGCGCGAGTCCGAGTCGAGTCACGAGTCCCGAAAATCGGCACTCGAGTCTGACTCGAGTCCGAGTCCAGGACTCGAGTACTCCATCTCTGCTTTGTTGACTAAGCTACAGTATCTTCAACAGTTTTGGGGAACAATTTACGGTATTTCTCACAGTCTTTCTTTTTTCAGCAATTCTTTTTATAAGCTGCCTTAATTATTCTATCCCACATTGAATACTGTTTGACAAACTGGTCGTTTGCTTGTGCCACAAGCCTGAAACCCATAGAACAGCTGTACAAGAGGGCTATCAAGGTGTTTGACAGAAAGCCATATTCATACCACCAGTTTTGACAATCTAAGTCTTTTAGAAGTATGTGCTTTATTTATAAATGTTTACATGGACTAGCCCCCCCTCCATTAGCGGAATTCATCCACAAAACACACACTGGACGCTGCACTAGGTCGGAAACCAGAGGAGAATGTGAAGTCCACCGTAGACGGACCACTTTTGGACAAAATGTCCTCTCCATTAAAGGCAGCTCATTGTGGAATAGCCTCCCAACTGAGATACGGGATTGTCCCACTCTCAATAGCTTCAAAAGTTAACTGAAAGAATGGATGAGAAACAAACAGACGTGTGAGCACCCCTAAATGCACTTTAACACAGGGGTATCTCCTCTTGCACTTTATGCATCTCTTGTATCTTCTCTTGCACTTTATATGTCGTTGCTGTTATATTGTATTACCATGCCATAAATACTTGTGTATACTGCTCTTGCACTTTTTGCATGGCATGTATTTTGTTCTTACAATGTTTGTCAAATGTAAATTTCTTAAATGTTTTTATGTGAGGGACTGCGGATGGAAATGAGCTAAAAGCTAAATCTGGCACTGTTACGCTTGACACATTTGAATGTTTTAAGTGTTCATAACGGTGCATTGTCCCTGCGAAATAAACGATTAACTAAATTGGGCTGCTAACATTTTGGCAACTGCTTCCTTATTCAAACACATTGGTGGACACAATGACTCACATCTAACCTTTATGTTCAAATTGTAATTACATGACTAAAACGCACTAAGTGTAATGTTAAATGGTGCAGTCTTCTGTATTGACACACGTATTCAAAGGATTTCACATCACAAAATCAGACAATATAGAATTACATCTGGTCATATGAGGGCACGGATTGATGCCACAGGGAGGTTTTGGTCAATTTGTGCTGAGGCTGTCTTATTGGAAAAACCTAATTGAAATGATTCTTATCTCAAATCAAAGGGGCAATTTGACTTCACACTCAGGCCTGAGACTGTGTCAGATACATTTACTGAGAAATGATTGAATCGATTTGAACCTAACAACATTTAAGTTTGTGTTATATAACGGAAAACTTGTTGGGATTGAAAAAGAATAAAGTGACAGCCCTGTCTGCACACGCCTTTTAAAGATCGAATGAAACACGAACACAGAGAGAGAGAGATGCAGTGTCCAATATCAAAATATGTTTCACGTTGAGAGTCGCTGTGTTACGTATCATTCCTGATTCAAATGGACTCGTGTGTGAGTCTTTGTATGTGTGTGTACTTGTGTGTGGGTTTGTGTGTGTTGGCAGCTTTCACTGACAGCCTGGGAGTTAAATTATTGGCTGTCCTGGTATTCATAATGAGCCCCAAAACGATTTTACTGTTTCTATCCCGGTTTGCGTGTAACATGTGTGTGTGCATGTGCGAGTGTGTGTACATGGGTTTGTGTGTTTGTCCAGCATGGCACCAACCTAGATCTTATGCCAAGCTTCCCATTAGCAAAGCACAGTCCATTAAAACCCCATTAACAACCACTCTCAGTAAAAAAAAAAACCATCCCCGTTCAAAAACATTCTCACACTCAACGCACACACACACATACTGTACATATTCCCCACTTATGCGATTGGGGAACTTTGACAACATTAGACCCAATCCAATTTCCAATCAAGGTCATCAAAGAGAGGAGTCCATATATGTGGAGAAAAAAACTCAACTTTATTTATCTTGATTGGTCTCTGAAAATCACTCCAACATTTCCTTTCTCTTCTGAAATAACCCTTTCACCTCAACATTTAACCCACAGCTGGTTTCACGTGGCACTTTTAAAAGCTTGAATAGTTAAAAATTGAAGTTGACTTGTTCTCTCTGTAATAAGCCAACGTCCTTGGGTTTCAAATCCAAGTTATTCCAATTGGAAAATTAATGAGCAGGTTTTTAAAAAGTTGTTTTTGACAAGTTCTAATGACCCTACGTGAGTCTAGAAGGTCATGTTAATACTGTTTATGTATAGTATGGAGATGAAAACACACTCATCATGCTCTCTATGTGTCTCTCCATGTTCAGGTTGGCCCTCCCGTCTCTGAAGAGGACGGATGCTGGCCTGTATCAGTGTATGGTGAGGAACAGGATGGGAGCCGTCATACACAGGAAGACAGAGGTGCAGGTGGCCTGTGAGTACCAGTGTTCACTCCATTTGAATAACACCAACTCACAAGGCTCTTTTTAATGACAGGATGCTGGTTCTCAGGGAAACGTTCCCAGCGGCAAGAAGCAGCCTCACTCTTAAAGTCTAACTATAATCCCAATTAGTCATCAATATTTGCAGCCAGAAATAGCGGCAACAGGAATTTATTGCAAATATTACAATGGGAAGATGCTCTAAACATGCAATTACATTTTTGTTGGGTTTTAGTGTTTCAATGTAATACTTGGAAAGTATTTAGGCTCCAAAACACTGATCATAAACTGAACACAAAAAGTAAACACAGATTCCATTTTTAAACCCAATGGCCCAGTCACAACAGCATTTAGAGCTGGAAGTCAGTTCATTTAATCAATTCAATGCAATCAGTGGATTGGCTCCCTGGGGCGCAGTATTATGTGTGTGAATTCCAACACACCAATTTCATCTGTTGAAAGAATGCCATGTTTACAGTGCATACTTTTTTAGGAAACAGAGCCAGATTAAAAAAATGAAGTCAGATAGTAAGGCTACCAGGCTACAAAGACACCTTGGAAAAACTGTTAAAACGTATTGTCCTGCTTTAGACCAAGCTAACTACTTGCTAACTTACCAATAAATCTATATATTCAATTAGATATTGTCCAATCCTGAAAACTAAATACAAGGGCACATAACAGCCAAGTATAGAAAGACATCCTCGGAGCTTTTGTGGGTGAATAGCTGCACCCGCTAGCTTTTTAGTGGTGGCTCAGTCAGTAGGGGCTTGGACTGTGAGTCGTAGGGTCGCCGGTTCAAGTCCCCGATCAGGCCTAAAATATGGAGTGTGGACTGCTACTTGGAGAGGTGCCAGTTCACCTCCTGCCCTGCCGTGGTGCACCTTGAGATGACGTTTGTCTTTAAAGTGTGCTATATAAATCAAATGTATTATTATTATTAAGTCACACAGATGAATTAAATCCCTAAAAACCCCTAAACAAGCAGGCCTTAATGCTGCTCTTTCAAGGATTTCTTGCATTCAATTATTGTGTTTTACTGTAATTTGAAACATTCCCATATTGATATCCACTCTCTTCATACCTGCCTCCCCCTCCAGATTTGGGCACATTCTCAGCTGAGGAGCAGAGGAAGACGGCGATTCAGGGCAGACCGGCAATCATCAGCCTGCCCCCCCTCGCCTCTTTCCCCCGACCCCTCGTCACGTGGTACAAAGACGGACACAAGATAATCCCTAACAACCAAATGTAGGTGTCTCTTTCATTCTCTGCTTCTCTCTCTCTGTATCTTAGGTCTTTCTCTGCTTGGGTCTTCCTCTCCACCTTCTTCTCTCTCTTTCCATATTCTGCCAACTGGTACAAAGTGCATGTAACAAAATACCACTTGTCTGCGATAGAAAATGTAATTTTACAGTTCCTATCCCTCAGTATATTAATTAGCATTCCGACGAAGCACAGAAGTAATATTTAATCCTTGCACACCGATTGTTTTAAATAATAGCCATTTAGATCACTGACCCTTCATTAGACATCAGTACAATAGACTGGGTACATTATCAAGCGAAGATAACAGGGATTTTGTAATGAATCGTTTTCTTGTCTAATCTACAAGGTTATTAAGTAATTGCAGGTGCACAAGAGATGTTCTTTTATATTAATTTTGCAGCAGAGATATGAGGGTCCCTGGATACATTGTGTAAGCTGTAGTTCAAAGTCTTTTGTTTAATGTTGTTGTCGGGCTCCTTTGAAATGCCTGAAATTTGCATATTATTCCGTAGCCGAATCCTGTCAGTGTCGGTATTTTGAAAAATGCTCATTCAGTGGATTAATAATGTCATTATTCAGACGGAGCAGGGCAGTGTTGGTTTGTTGTGAAAGGTTTTCAGAGTTATGTGCTATGGATTTAGGCAGTTCTTAAATTATTTTTAGAATATGTACCTGTGTGGATCTACTCATCAGTGAAAATATGTGTTAGATAGAGACCTTCAGTGATTTTATTAGGCAGCTCTCACGCTCTGAGATAACAAACTCCCCATTAAGAACACTAACTGCTCCCCTGTGTGTTATATAATTAAATTGTCAGTGGCTTTGCTGCTCACACAAATGGCCAGACAGCAACTTTTTCACTCCTTTTATGACAGTCATCACCTCAAAAGTGCTTTTTTTATGCTTGGTGGAGTCAGGTTAAATTCGCACTTGCTTTATTTAATTATTTATTAATTATATGTGTTGTTGTTGGTTCACACCAAGTTTGACTATTCTTTTGAATTTGAATGGACACGGAAAATGGCTCTCCGGTTAATTAATGGCACCTCATTGAGTAACAGTGGAATCAACACACTGGCTGTGTTCAAAGTGTTTACTGTCAGAACATCACCATTACACGGCTCTCACCCACTTACAAATACACCACACAAAAAGGGCACTACTACCACTACCACTGGCAAGCAAAAAGGAAAAAAAAGATAATATAAAGACAAGAGTGAAGTCTGAAATAAAGGCTCCGAATGCTAAAATGGTGCTCCTGCCTTTTAATGACTATAAGGGCCACTTCACCACATCAAGAACGTTTGGCAGTAGGGTGTAAAGCAGAGCAAAGAGAAACTTTTTCTTCACAAACCTCATCAAGATGCTTTTGTAACCGTCTCAAGTTGTCAGTAATTGGTTTAAGTGCAAATCTGGTCTAACAGCGTTTCTAAAGAGGCTTTAAACTCGGAAACTCAACAAGAAATATGTTTCAAGGTGCGTTGTTCGACTGAAATACACTTTCCATCTCAATAACTTTAGGTTTGCTTATACAACCAAACTGCTTCGTCAGATTTAGGCAACACAAGTTCTTGCTTTAGGTAGAATAAGAAAAGCTCTAAACATTGGAGTGGCTGCAGAGTTTTCAGAGTAAGAGCTGATGTAACAGCCGCAGCAGTAGGTTTTCAGAGCGTTTAAAACACAATATGATTTGAAAGGGAGCAATAAGCTGTCCCGATTTGGCAGGTGCAGTCAGCTGAGAGGTTAGGCTGCACATTTAGCGCACAGTTAGGCTGTGGCCTGTGTTGGAGCCTCTATTTGCAGTAAATGTATTCACAAAGGCTCCATTTGTCTTTGCCCTTTATCTTAATTAGGTTGCAAAAAACCTGATGAACATCCTGCCAAAAATGTGCAGTCCATGCACTTTATTATCAAGATAACCCATTAAATTCATGGTTTTCCTTTGCTATTTACTGCAGACACAGTTAGTTCCTGCTAAATACCTGACTGCCTCCACTAAAGTCACAAGAAATTAATACATTTGTATGATTTACTATGTTAGTGGCATTCTGGGAATAAAAATGGAGGTGTGTTTTTTACGCAGCATAGACCTCACATTTAATGTAGATGTTTTATTTAGACCATATACCAATTTTATGCGGAGAGGGAGATTGCCACTTACAATCATTTGATATAAATCACAAGCCCGTCTCAATTACTTCTATGAAGTTACCAGGACAACCACTCCTGTCCTGGAATAAATCAGAGAGAGATACAGGGATCTATGAAGCCTTTTGTTAAGAAAACGTCTATACCCATTTTTTATAAAAATCATTATTTCAATAAATGGATCATTTTACAGACCCTTCTCTTTGAGAATCACTTGAATACACTGTGTTAAGCAGCTAATTACTACCTGGTGATGTTTGCTTAGTCAATCATGAGCAAACATTTCAGAAAAAGTACCAGAAAAAGTTGTAAATGCAAACTGTATGGAAGTTCTAACCCATTTCTCAAGTCTTACATCGTGTGACTTAAAGGTCACCTATTATGAAAAAAGGCACTTGTTGATGTCTTTTATACATACATATGTGTCCCCAGTGTGTCAGGAGACTCACAAGGTGTCAGCAAATACAACCCTCTCTCTTTTCCTCCTTACCAACATCTCTAAAAACGGGGGTAAAACAGAGCTGATCCAGATTTGCTGCGTTCATGACGACAATACTAAAATGTGGACTGGCTTTACGTTGAAGTCATGGCAACGTTCCGCCCCAACCTATTGTCCCCTATCAGAAACGTTACTGTATCAGAAACAATGCGCAACGTGTTTTGAAAGTAATATGGTCTGTGTTTACATTAGCAAGCATCGCTAACTCTCTGAGCTAACGCTGTACTGGAGAGAGTATGTGTAAAACAGGTACCCACCTTGTGGTAAAGCCGCAAGAGAAAAAGAGTTTGAGCTCCATACTGTTTCAGAAATAATCCTTGATGCGGTTTGGAACATGATATGGTGTTTAATCACGGCAGCGTTTAGCTGAGTTTTTGCCCTAGAGTAGACAGTCTTCTCTCATACCTCATTCACACCAACGGTGTTTCGGGGCCGGTTCGGAGCTGGAGCTTGAAATGCACCGGGTTTTCCTGTTCACACCGCGACGGAGCAGCCTCTTAGCTCCGGAATCCGGTTTGTTTCAAGCACCAAAAAATTGTCCGGCCAAAGCAAAAGCACCACATACGTCATGCTTACGTCGAGGCGGGGACAGGGGCAGGGGCAGGGGCAAGGGCAGNTAAAAATCATTATTTCAATAAATGGATCATTTTACAGACCCTTCTCTTTGAGAATCACTTGAATACACTGTGTTAAGCAGCTAATTACTACCTGGTGATGTTTGCTTAGTCAATCATGAGCAAACATTTCAGAAAAAGTACCAGAAAAAGTTGTAAATGCAAACTGTATGGAAGTACTAACCCATTTCTCAAGTCTTACATCGTGTGACTTAAAGGTCACCTATTATGCAAAAAGACACTTGTTGATGTCTTTTATACATACATATGTGTCCCCAGTGTGTCAGGAGACTCACTCAGGGGCAGGGGCGGGATCAACTCCTGAACAACAACAAAAAGCCCGCGTTTTATCCAGTTTGTTCACAACGATGGAGAAACTTAACAAGCAGCAGTGGTCCACTGAAGAGACCAGCTACCTACTGGGAATCTGGTCTTCTGAAGAGGTACAGAGGAAGCTGGAGCACAATCGGCCATTGTTGTTGTTGTCGGTGTCAGCTGTGAGGGGTTTCCGCGTGCTTTGGCTTTATGAAGCAGGCACGCAAACGGTTACGTCATGACGCAAACGATGACGCAATGACGCAGCACCAGTCGGACTCTGGGCAGTGTGAAAAGAGCCGGAGCTAAACCGAAGAACCGGTTCTGAACCTGAAAAGCTCTAGCACGGAGCTTGAACCGGAGTTGCGCTTGTGTGAATGAGGTGCTTGCCTGCACTCAAAAGGGGCGTGGCCACAGCAGCTCGGGTTACATTTGAAGCTACGCACCATGAATCAGCACTTTGGTAACAGGGCTGAAATAGAGAGGTATGAGTCACGGCTCCAATGGGTGATCTGTTTGGTATTTTGAGCAAAACACTTCAGAGACATGTTTTGTATAGATATGGCCCTATAATATATTCGAATATAGAATAATAAGTGAGCTTTAAACATTAAGATTATGGATGACGTTTAAAGTCATTTTGAAGCAGTTGATTTGGTCTTAATATGAACTTATTCTGTGTTATGTCTAGGCAAGACACAGCAGTAAAGCTTTGACAGAGTGTACTGTAGGATCAGACTTGATCTCATTTCTCCTTTCTCATGGAGCCAGGTACACACTGGGTTACAGTCGTGTTGGCAGTTTGTTTGCGCAAAGAAGATCTGATTGGTGTGAAACTTTAAAGCAAAGAGTTTGTCTAAGATTCAATGCTTTCGCTCAAGAACCTGTATCCATGGCAACAAGATAAAATGACAGGTGGATCTGCCACTTCCATTGTCTGCACTATACTGTGTGATGTATAAGTACATTTGAATGATATTGTTAGATAAATAAAAGATACCAAGTTGAACCTCATAGCTTCTATAAATCTTTTCAAACAGACACACACACACACACACACACACACACACACACACACACACACACACACACACACACACACACACACACACACACACACCTGTAATATGACTAGAACGAGTGAATCGCGCTTCTGTATCCTCAAGTATTAATTTAATCTGGTTCCATCTCTGTATTGCACCCCACACACACACACAGTGATAAAGATTCACGCATAACACTTCCTTTGAACCCTCATAGAAAAGTCTCATTTGCACCTTTCTTCACAGCTTCCCTCTTGTCTCTACAAGACATGTCTTCCTCTCCCCTTCCCCTCTCTCACCTCGCTGCTTCATCTCTCACTCCTGCTTTCTGCCTGTAAATTATTCTTTATATGGCTTCATTCT